GAATGGACTCCCGTACCCGTAGCCTCGAGACATTAAGATACGGCTACCGTACCCGTAGCCACTGCCTTAATAATAAGTACCACAAATGCTCCGGTTCTTTTGTGTCGACCATCAAATTAAGTTATTACCCTGATATCATCTATTCATGTATTGCAGTTAGGTAAGAAGGACATAGCAGCAGCTCAGACGCTACGAGTGGCATTCAGTAAGGTGAGTTTGATGTAGTTTGACTCTGCTTCATGCAATGCCATACATTCCAGGATCTTTGCAGCCACCTATGTCACACTTTTGCTATTTATTACACTCTTAGTGACGGTTACAAATGAAGTTAAAGTTACTTGTATGATCTGGGTTAAATCTAGATAACGTTTCCAATAATATCGGTGACAGGGCTCGAATTAACCGACGGCACCGACGGCAATTGCCGTCGGTGCCCCTATCAATCGCCGTATACTGCCCCTGAAAATCCAACCCGACCGACGGCAGTGACCTGCCTTGCCCTTTTCTGTAATTGCCGTCGGTGCCTCTGGCTAGACTGGTTTGCGGCCGCACTGTTTGTCGCAGAGCGTGTACATTGTCTAGCAGAGCGTGAGGCCGGATACCAGTCTACCTTTCGGCAAAAACAATAATATATAACGTGGCTTGCTGCCAACCACTGCCAGTAGACGATCGATAAATCGTGCGCCTGTGTACATGGTGTATGCCCGTGGTAAAACTCAAATATTTAAATGCTGCACGTGGACTCGGCCCGCGCGCGATTTAAAGCGCGGGAAACAACGCTCGCGCAAGAATGGCCAGCTGTGATCTGTACGGTGTGTAGCTTGTGTAGAATTCATACGATGCCAGAAAGTTTTTCATAACAATGGTCTGGGTCTGGGCTAGTGGAAGTTAGGTCAGGGCTAGTGGTTTTCCTCAGTTACAGTCACTTACTAGCCCGATGGTCTAGTAAAATAAAAAGTTAATGTTGAACCCTGTTACTGTACTTCCATTAGCAGAGGGGTGTATCGGGGTCGGTGTTATGGTGTAAGCTTACATGGGGGCGGAAGACGATGTACATGTGGGTGGGAGACGGTCTGTACATACACGGTAAAAAACAAAAGTGCCTTGGTGCCCTTCTCAAATTGTGAGTGTTGCCTTGATGCCTTTTAAAATTGCCTCGGTGCCCATCCATTTTAGAGAAAATTCAAGGCAATTTCTCACATGCCCCCAAAAAATTGCCTTGCCCCTCTTGTCGCTTAATTCGAGGCCTGATCGGTGATATTTGTCTTTGTGGGGCTGCAGGTAGAGGCAATGCACCCAGGTTTCACACACGACCTTGTGACAAATGTGCTTCAAAAAGCAGATGTTCCGATCAACATGAATGAGAATATGCTACGGCTGGAAGGAGATCACAGTAATCCAGGTATGTTGAAATTCCAAGGGGAGATGTTTTGCCTTCTACATCTAATTAAGTGCTCAAACCTCAGCTGTGCAATTGGTGTTGCTTCAGAACTTAGAACTGAGTTAATATATGTTTCTCATTGCTTTATTCTAACTGCCCACGATGTAAATATGGCGTGTGTGCAATACATTTGGTAAGCCATCTCGCCAGTATTTGTGCGTCGATTGTCAGTTACATGGCCTTGTTCGAATTCAACCAGCAGTTGTTTGAATTGGACGGAAGCAAAATAATGGCACTATTTATAAATGTTCGCATTTATGTTATAGAGTTTCTTGTGAACCGGGGTGAAACAGCGTTCAAGGAACTCAACTACAGAGCAGTGACACTGAAGAAAATTCTGAGCTGCATTCCAGATGAAATCAACGATAGGAAAGCATTCCTAGAAACAATCAAGTGAGTCTAATATCGTTAAATAGTTGAAACTTCTCTAGACTGTTAAAGTAGTAAAGCATGAGTGTGATGCAGGAGTGCTGACTGCTTTTTGAGTGTGCCCTACATTAACTTACCTTGGGGCTTGCTAGGTGCTCCCTTGTTGCAGACACTGTTGTACTATAAACAAATGTTTGGTTAGTTAGTGGTAACTCTTGGACCTTGATGACACACATATGGCTTGCAGACCAAGATTTGGGTTGTGAACCAGTGATTAGGATCCATTGTCAATATAGAATTATTATAATTGATTACCGACCAACAAATAGCATTGCTGCAGTTACTGTGTTGTGGGAGAGGTGCCGCCAGAACATTTTCTCTAACACACCCTTTCTGGTTATAGAGAAATTGCGAGTGCTATCAAGAAGCTTTTGGATGCAGTGAACAATGTCTTCATCTATGTACAAAACCAGCAAGGAAAGCAGGCGAGTCATTGTAATGCTTCTGTCACAATGTAACCTAAGTTAACAAAAAAAGAACTTTAATTGTGGGTCCTAATGCCGGTGATTTGCTTTTATGTATCACAAATAATTCACACAGTTCTGTCATTTCATGAGCGAAGTTCGTTTTCACTTGCTGTAACTATGGATTTAATCGTTTAAAGCAAAACTTTGTAGTGATGTGTTTTCATTAAAATGACTTGCAGATGGTTGAGACAAGAAAGCGTGAATTTGTTAAGTATTCAAAACGATTCAGCAACACGCTTAAAGACTACTTCAGGGAAGGACAGTAAGTATATGTGCTTTACAGAAAAACGGAAGTACCTTTCCACAGAACATCTTTATAGAATGTAACGTAGAAGTAAGACGATTAAACAATACTATAAAAATGAGCCAGTTGTTCAATCTTAGGCAAAATGATAAAGAAACATATATATACCAGATTACGTAATGCACACCTATACACCTGAACCTGCATCACCTGTTCCCTTCCCTCGCTTCTCGTCTCTTCTCACTCTTTCTCTCCCCGCTCTCTCTCACCTCTTTCCTAAGGCGATGATTTTTCTCCCCTCCTATTTTATTCAGACTTCCTGTGACAGCCGTCGACCAATAATACTCTGCTGTGCTGATTGTATATTATTTTCTTTTCTCTGAAGGGCGAATGCTGTATACCACAGTGCTAACTGTCTCATCAACCAGACTAACATCATAATGACCACAATTAAACACAAGTGTGAGTAGAGTGGAGAGTGGTATGTGCTTCTCCTAAAATATAAGCAAGGTATGAACGTCGACAAATGTTGTTGTGACGATGCTTGTTTTCTAGCAAGAATTGTTGCCGTGACAACAGTTTAAGTGGCGATAACTAGGATAGAATAAGGCGAGTTACGCAAAGGAACTATTTCACGGCAAAATTTCACTTAGAAACGCCGCCGACGTGGAAACGTTTCCGATTATTTTTATTAGAGTTGATCAGCGAAGGTGAAAGATAAATGCAAACTTCTGGTTTTGATCGATACTGCTCTAATACCAGCTATTATGTAAGGAAGCAGTGATTTTATACTACCGTGCTGTCGTTACGTGATTGTTAAAATATGTTTATTGTGTGTAGAGAGTTATTGCATGACGGTTACGTCCTCGTGTTGTCTGAAAAGAAGCATGACTGTTGTGAGAACGCTGGCACAGAAATGAGCAGTCTAGCTTTGGAACGAGGAGCAATGCATTTGTCCTCGAAGCAAATGTTGGATCCTGTTCCGAACACCCATGCGGATGTTAATTTCTTCACGTTCCTTCAGCAGGATATATAGTGCGGTGTGATCAGTCTGTGTGATTGTGATCAAAAGCACATTTACAAAGCTGATGGTTTGTTTGCACTTAGAACTGAGACTTCCGCAATGTTAATCTTAGTTTTACCGTTCACATGATAGTGTTATTTAATTAATTTTTCTTGGTTCGGGACATAGACGGAATTGTTCGGGAAAAATTTCAAGGTATTGTTAATTGGCACGGTTAACTTACTGGCTTAGTGACAGTGATATATATATATACATTTCGGTGATAAAATATGTTCCAGCAAAAATGAGAGTGAATAGGAGAAAGGTACAATGGGATACATAACTAAAGGTGTAACCTGATTTGTGGTGAAGGGTTTCCTGTGGCCATTTGAGATGATCACTCCTTAGTAATGAAATCAGATGGCATATAAAAGGAATGATGATGGATAGATGTATACAAATCACACTGTAATCTTCATGAGATAGCAGTGTGCTTGAATCAATATTCCCAAGTATTCACCCAACACAAGAATGGTCACCTTCCGTAAGAGTTAATACAGTTACTTGTGTTGTGCTGAAGTTCGTAAAATCACCACCGGCAGCATTTACATATTCATAGTACTATCGCGACACGATGTTTTCTGTTTTAATGCGTATGCACTCTAGTGGTGGAAACCTTGCATTAACAGGCTATATTAGATGTCTATATATGGTATGCGGGGTGTGCTATTTGGAGGATACAATTACATTGTCGAATGAGTAGTTGTTATTAGCATGACAGGAAGGTGACTGCCCATCGAGCAAAGCCTGTGGTGCACCGTCCGGTGTGGAAGGCCGTTAGAATCCGGTTCCAGCGATTGACGTTCTTAGTGGGTTATTATTATTACCATCTTTGAGCAGGTCGTAGCCCTCGAATTACCTCGGGTTTCACGATCAAGCTGATACCCCGTTTACGCTGGAGTTGATATATATATTATTCAGGCGTGTTCACCTTCGAAACACATACAGGTGCTCGAAGAAGAGCCAGGATTGTGAACGGTCAAAGCTTGCATTGTTAGGCGTCGCGACCTGGACATCTGTCTATCTGTGTGTGTGTGTGAATGGGAAAATATGTAAATATTGTTAAACGAATGAATATCATTTTCAAAATGAGAAGAGAGCGCTTGAATATTTAAAGTTGGTAAGAGGAGTGGGTACTGGTCGGAGGTACTGAGACCTGCTATTTTCTGGTTAATTTGCAGTAATATTCTTGATATAATCCATTTGTGATCATTTTGGAATACTTGTAACTTGCTGTGAATAGTTTTTTGGGTCGATAACAATTCTGGTAGGACTGCAGATATGCTTCTGCTAAGCCAACCCCAAACTCTCCACTTGTGTGTTGTGTATTGGTTTAAAATAAATTGTACAACCCTATTACTTTTTTGTATCGCCATTGATGCCAGTGGATAAGACGGGTTAATTACAATTTTAATTATTGTCCCGACTGTTTATTACTGTAAGGGATTGGGATATATGCTCGTGGGAAATGGGTTGCGGGTACAATTGTAGATCCATTGCGCAAGGTAAATGACCGAAAGATTGTTCCCTCACACAAAAATTCGCAAGTTGATTAGAAAGCCAGAGTGAGTCATACAAAAATCATAGGAATACAGCAGAAGATGTGAATATTACAATAATTTTATTCGTATAATTTACCACGTCAGCCTGAATGTTGCATCATGAAGCAGCGATAATAACGCATGAATGTCAAGCAAGATGTGTGTGTGTATGAATTCATATTTATCTTCTGTTAAATCCAGGAAATTAACTTACTATCGAAATTCTCGATCTCCCTTCGGAAAATCTTCACCAGGATGGGATCTCGAAGGAAGATCGAAAATTTCGATAGTAAGTTAATTTCATGGTCACAAATTCATAATCACAAGATAAATACGAATTCATAGTTTCCAACGAAATCCAATGAACTTATTTCATTCATAAAGATGCGTGTGATTACACAAACCCTGTATCATGGCACAGAACTGCCTAGTAAGGCTAACTGAAGCGACAATCTTGTTACAACCTGCACGAGCTTAAATGTAAGGTTTTCGCCCATGAAGTTCTGACGCTGGCAACTCACGCCAGCCCGGGCGAAAACACGAATCGATGTCCGTCATTCCTACAAAACGCGGATAAGGAGGTTATATGATCCCCTCCAAGACCTACACGTGCCAAATGTACCAAGCATTGTCCGCCATGTTTGATAATTACGGGGTACACACGCCAAAGATCCTACGTGTGCATAACGTGGCAAGTGCGAAAAAGCCGGGTAGATTTAAAACGCGATGATTTATAAGCACATGGACAGACACGTTATTAACGAGTGGGCATCTGGAGCAATGAAGCTCTAACGATTCATCTCTTATTTATGCACTAATTAAGGAGCATTTAATGAATTTATATGTACATTAATTAAGAATTTCCTAACGCACATAAGTATCCCCCAAAAGCAAATCTGATTATGCACAGGTGTTTACTCTGATGTTAAATTATATTTAATAGAATAATGAAATAGAAATCGACGTGAGAATGCTAAGTTGATCCTGTTACTAGTTTGCAGCTTCAAATATAAGCAGTTGTCATTAGAGATAGTGCCGAAAATAAAGGTGTTTTTTGAACTATTATGATCTACAGTTACACCTAATAAATAATCACATGTAAATTTATACAGTGAACTGATGTATACGAATATTTAGCTGAACATGCTGTGGTAGAAAAGGCCATATGTAATATTACCAAGAGTGCATGCTATTACGTAGATAATGACACCATCACATAAATGAGGCCCAAATACCGAAATTCACATGCACTGTTCTAAAACGAAAACAAACACAAAAACAATTAGTTAAACAGTTGGAACCGAATCGGCTCGTTCTAATTATGTGATGACCGCTTTAATCGTCACTGCATCCAGCAGTTGCTTTGTTCCGTATCGGCGCTATTCGTAAGTGTTCGTCCGCGGCACGCTAGGACGACACCGGTTGTGTGTTTGCCCGAACTAAGACGACACCGGAGTGGCGGACGATCGTACAGCATATCACGCTCAATGCGCCACGAAAACATCGAGAAGTGCGTGACAAGTAACAAGCGATGTGAACTAGCTGCGATACGCCTCCACACACGTCGATGTCCGACAAACGCCACGACTCGACGAAACCCTCGAGAAAGAGGGTTCGCTGCCGACTTCTCCCCTACACCCAAACTTAACCCTTTGATCATGACACCTGCCCTCCCCCCCAAATATTACACCCACCCCTGCCTATGACCAGTACCCTTCTGACCTCTGGCAAGTATACCTGCCCCTCCCTAGCTCTAAAAATAATAGCCCTTCGCTCTGCCACAGGCTCAGAACGAAGGTCTATAGTTCTAGAGCTCCCCCCCCCCTCCCCCGGATTGTTGCTCCGACAGTACGCACGCCGAATCGCACGTGCACGAGACCCGACGCCGCGTGAAAATAAAACAAGTGAATGTTGGCACCGTCGGACGCTACGGCGAAAAGTAAAAAGTAATTACGGGACTGCGATCGATCCACCACCACCACCGCCACCATGCGTGCGCACTATATATAAAATGCATAGAGTCGCAGCGCCAAACAAACGTGCTGCTCACTTGTTTACAGAGGGGGTTACCGCCTAAGAGAGAGGTCCGAGCGTGGTGCGTGCTAAAGTTTGAGCGCGGCACGCAGCGAGGAACCGTATAGGTGTCGCGCGACTATAACCACAGAACAGGGTAAAAAATACACGGGAGTGATTCGCTCTTCAAACCTCTGAAATCGCTCCCGTGAGGCTCAAAATAGCTCCCGTAAAAATTTTTGACGAGAGCTATTTTTTCCAGACTTTTGAAAAAGAGCTCCCCTGAAAAAAATAATTTCCCCCCTGCCACACACAATGAGGACCCATGATGTGAAGTGCCCTTGGGGTGACACGACTGCCAATTCTCAGCAAACGCACTGCCACTTGGGGCGGTTCTTATAAATAAAATTATAGTAAATAAACAGAAACAGTATTCAACTACCACGTTATCATCTACCAGTATTAACTGTCTCAATGTTTACGTACTCGCTAATGCCCAGTAATTCCACATAAAAGCCTTTCAAATATCCCCTCTACAGCATTGTTACTGCGCGCGTGCTAGTAAGCATATGGATGGCATTTACATGAACATTATTAGACGATAGAGAGTACATAAACCTTCAGACTTGTAGTAAACACAATTTCTGTTTATTTACTATGATTTTATTATTGGAACGGCCCAAGTACCTGTAATGCTGGGTTTACACTATCGATTTTTGTCAGCAAATCGTACCGATTTCAAGTGCAACACAATCACCGTCCAACACAATGGGCTGAAATTCGATTGTGTTGGTGTCGGAGTCGGAGACAAGTCGACGAGTTGGCGAAATAGAACGTGTTCTATTTTGCTCGACTCGGATTCGTGAAATCGGCGAGTTGGATAAATCTAATTGGCTTAAAAACTTTCACGTGATACCTACTTCCTCTACTACTTATTATAACGCACATACTTCCTCTTCCTCCATTCTCCAACTTCCAACTGCAGTGTTTCAGTACTGCAGTGGGGGTGTGTGCTCTATTTTGAAGATATTCATTCGGGTTGCACGTCGCCCAAATTGCTCTTTGGACATTTTGCTGAAAAAAATACGGCCAATTCCCACCGAGGCGGCTGCTCTGGAACGAACTAGCTTAGTATTAGCAGAATTTTTCAGGGAGTCACCACGGGACTTCCGTGCGATATGTTCGAATCAAGCGGAGCTGTTTGACTCCGCGACTCGCTGTTAAATTTCGCCACCTGCATAGATGACGAACACGTACTTTGAGTAAACGCGTCTATAGGTTTATTTCTATAGGTATGGAACCATCACTACACAGAACTAGCTAGATATCACCGTAAATTCGCACGAGCGCACACTACATAAGTCGATGACTAAGTGATGTCGAGGGCCGCGACAAGACTTGGTGATACAAATGACGTCTGCTTAACTGAAGACCATGCGTCATCGATTTCGCGACCCTAGGATTGTTCGTTGTTAGACCATTGAGAACCGGTTAAGAACCACAACCGATTCCTCGTCATGATCCCGGAGCAACCAGTCCTTCTACAGCGATAGCCGCTTGCCAGGAATTCGTCATGGGAGGCATCCTCCCCTTCGGCCCTGCTCTCATTCAGCTG